GGGGGGGGGGGGGGGGGGGGTTCGGATGCCATTGGTCAGACAACAGAAGTGCAAAGCTATGATTTTGCTCTGTAGGCTGCATTCTCATACTTGACTATAGTTCGAAAACTTCAGTACTTAAAGCATGCTTAACTAAGCTTCAAAGTTTATTTGAGTAAGTAAGTTCTATATACATAATTGCTTTTTATTGTTCAAAGTTTGAAATAAATAAGTTACTTGTTTTAAAAGTAAAGTGAGAGTTAATTTCAATGAGATGTTGAGATGGATGCCGGTAAGAATTTTCATGGATTGAGGTCAGAATTTCAGGACATCTATCTAGTGCTTCTGAAAATTTATTTACACGTGCATATTACCTTTATACTGAGATCAGTGTGCCGAGAATACGATATATGAAGCTTGCAAAAGCCTCCGTCATATATGCAGTGTCCTTCCAAAGATTCCTTTGCAACAACAGCCGTCTGAACATCTGCAAGCTGATTATATTAGTGCCATATTTGACTCAAAACTTTTCAGATGACTTTAGTCCAGATTCTAAATTTCTGCAAGTAGCTCATGCACGTAAAATAATAATATTTAAACTAAACAGATGCAATTACACGATTTATTGTTATCAAATAATGATAAACTACAACAGACCTGACTTAACTAAGGCCACCTCCCAGTAAATTTTAACTAACAGCTTGGACTTATTTGGTAGTTGTGTGTTGTATTAAAGAAAATTTAATCATGTAAGAGATAGTCACCAAACAGAACATCAATTAGATTAATCAAATATCTACTTTCTCTTCAAAATTAGAATTCAAGTGAGGTGATAAAAAAGACTACTGTCGAGCCTTTTAGGATAACGATCAAACATTGATTCTAAATTGACAATTAAGAGTAAGAATAAGTTGCCACATTCATCTTACCAGGATACTGTATCAAAGCCTGAAGACCCCCATTCTTGTCAAACATGGCAATCTTCAGGACAGGCCCAAAAGCTGAAAAGACCTGTAGAGAGAAACCCGTTTATATGAGGAAGGAATCAATAACTAAAAGGCACAGTCAACAGAAAAATTCTAGAAGCTTTCTCAAGTGGGAATGTGGTTACCGTGTGTAAAACATCCAATGTGACTGCATACTGCATATTTTCAACAGAAGCAAGAAGAACATTACTCTCTGGCTCTACCTTCTTCCCATCTGCGCCTAAAGTGAACTGCATTGGGGACAAGTGATTGCCATCAAATCATACCAACCAAAGAAACTCATTTTTTCAAAGATATCTAAATAAGTGGTGGCTGGCCAGCAGCTTCCACAAAGTGAATCCATAATGTACAAGTTTCCAAGTGATGATGTCATACTGGCATTCGAGATGTCATCATTTGGTCATGCTTATATTAGAGAAAGCAGAAAACAGCACATGCAAGAATCAAGATCTTAATATCTTAAACATGTAATGTAGGAGTCATGATTTCTCAAAACTTCACTGTGATGGCCAACCACGTGAGCAATTTAGCACAAATAGATACAGCAGTTTCTCCATGGTTTACCTGACCACTTGCATCTATGGCTGAAGGAGCAACAGGAAGCATAGGATTGGTATAGTCCCTAAATAAATAGAAACAATCAACATGAATGATATAACAGTCGGAAACCAATGAGAAAAAACAATTAAAATAATTGAAATCAATTAAAATACTAGTTAAGATTAGAAATCAATTACCTGCTACGATGACTCTGGAATTTCACAGTAAGATCTGTATGTGCAGAATATGTGATCTTCAGGGTACATGGTCCAAGCTCTGGAATCAGATACCTAGTGCATCCAGGATAAGAAAGTCAACACCATCAACACAAAGTAACCTAAAAGTTAGCAAATGGCTCACAACTGATGCGTAAAAAAGAAGTGTAAAATAATCTCAAGTTTGAGGAACATGGATACAGGATTTATAAACTAAGTTCAGCCCAAAGACATTCTGCATTACTAAAATGCCCTGTTTCCGTCCAGTACAAATGATAAATATGGCAGAAGACACAGTTTCCACTAGAGGCCATTAAGCATATAAACCAAGTATGGTTAGCCAGACAAATCCCTATGCACACAATGACAGCTTATTAGCTGTTCTCTTTCATCTACAGATCATCCCTCACGTCCCTATTTCTTCTGCTATTTTATATTTCATAACACTCATCCCAACTAAAATCAAAATGCTGTTGGCATCATTTATCTAGGTCATAACTCTAATGCTAGGATGGTATAGATTACAGTCAACCCCAAACAGACTGAGTATGAAAGGAAAAGGTGACTCGTAATAACTGAAGAAAGGAGAGGTAGATGGGGTAAGGAGCATGCATGTACCCCTTCAGCAGATTCTTAAAAACTCCTGAAAGATGTCCGGCCCCAATGTATGTGCACCACATCTAGAAACATATGATCCATAACAGTTTGGTATTCATCCCAAGCCGAAATATAAAACCCACATCACCTGGGAATGCTTCTTCCATCGAGGGCATCCTTTGCAGCAGAAGCTGTCTCTGAATCAGAAAACTGCACCAAAGCCTGCAAAACAGAGGAAACAGTGGGAAGATCAAATTTGATAGGATTTAGAGTCCTTAAAGCAGCAAGAAACCAAACAAAAAAAAAATCATAAAAGTTTTCCTAGAATACAAACCTGAAATCCAGCAGTCTTTTCAAACGTAGTAATCTTATGGACGAATCCAAATGCAGAAAACACCTGCATAACAAAGTAATTTTAATAACTTCATGTAATAAAACAAGAATAACTCAGCCTATATATTTTCATAGCCGGTCCCAAGCACGGATTAACGAGGGGGATTGCGGTATGTTGAAAACCTATATAACACTATGCCAGCACTTATTATTTAGGACATGGTTTATTACAAGGAATATCCACATATATGGGTACAAGAAGAAACAGAAGATATTATCTATCACCCACTTTTGAAGTAATTCCACACTACAATATAACATGATTAAATTGCAATTCTCCAATTTTTACAACCAAAGGGTCAAAAATTTTGAATTCCATTTTAAGACTTGGGATGAAACATCATTGACAAACAATGCCATCTAAAAGTTGGCATCCATAATCAGAAAAATGGACATAAGGTATAGCTTGATAACGTGCAACAGGTAAAATCTCCTTCCCTCTTTTGTTTGAATTTTTTTCTATTTTTGAATATCTCACGAATAAGACATTATCCCAAAATGGAGTATCTTTCATGCTACTTGCCCAAATTCCTTTTCTTAAGACACAGATTGAATTCGTAAAAGATTCCAAAAAGAAGTGATGTTGAGCATTTAACATTTCATATTAAGCACATACGACGTAAATGAGTCTAATTACGCTTAAATCCATACAAAGAGAATCACTATTAAGACAGAAGAAAAGAAAAAGGAAAAGAATGACATCTGTGCCATAACAGAATCTGAAGAGGCAGTGTCCTATTTTATCTCTAGTGGGGAGGTTACTTTGGGTAACGCAAGAAGTTGATTGATTTGTTTAAGATTCAATGCAACTGGAGTATCCAGTCCAGTCAATCTGAAGTACGAATTGAAGAAGTCTGAAAGTTAACTTCTATGCCAGGACAATTAAGCTTGATGAACAAATAACACAAGATGAGGAGAGAAAAGTATAACAATCAAGTAAAGCCTAAAACCTGACGAGCGGCATAAGATTCTCCCCTAAAACTTTAGTTAGCATAACTTGGTCTCAATGCCTAAGAAACTAGAAATTTCTGGAATATTTTTCCCCTGAACATCACAATGAACCTAAAGTAAACTAATATTATCCTTCACAAATTACATTGTATTAAAAACAAGATACAATTTTCCAAAAAGGATGAATTTGCCAGTTCAAAATTAAGTGTGGCCTAAATATGCAATCAAATTGACATCTGGATGACATTTTGTTGACAACTTTTTATTTATAAAAACTAAAAAATTGCAATATAAACATTAAATTACAAGTATGAACATGATTGGAAAAGTAGTGAATACATCAAATACCAAGTGAATAATAAAAAAAATTAATACGTCAATCTTTCTAGAGAGTGGCAATCGTATTTCTTTGCTATGTATTCAATCCATTCAACTCGTCTACATGCCTTCATAATGTTAAAAAATGTTTCATTAAAATTTTCAAGTTTATCCCTATTAAAAATATGTTCTCCAGATAATGTTTTAATTGGTTAAGAAAGCACACTCCCCCAAAGCCAAGTAAAATATTATATGTATAGGAAGGGAACCGAAACAATCATAGTCAAAGCAATTCTTTTATGACTATGCAACGTAAAATCCACAAAATCAGTGCCAATATAAAGGACAAAGGTACCAAAAAGAGAAATTATTTGAGGTAGAAACATGAAGAGGAAGAAGGGAAGAAAGGGCCAGTTTTAAGCAAAGGAGAAAGGAGACAAACACACATGTGCTCTTTCTCCCAATGCAATAAGCTGCCATCGAAGATATATCCTTGACATGTGCCTGCTGATTAATTCACATTCTTGTCAAACAAAAGCCTAACAAAGTATGACATACTCAATCTAGCGACTAAAAACCATAGAGAACATCTTCTTGTTGAGATTTGCTCCTCCTAACAATGAGTTTATGAGTAAGTTTCCTAATTACTTACCAAGTGTAGGACATCAATGCTGACTAGGCGTGCATCATTACCCTCAATAGTTATCAAGAGTACGTTTCCAGCAACATCTGCAGTAGTTTTGTTGTTCACTATTTCTTGCCTGTTGGAATATTGTAGGTAGACAGTTTTCCCTCGTACCTGAGCTGGCTCCGAGGATGAAGCATAATATGATATCATTGCAATAGCTTGATTTAATTCCGCCTATTAAACATAAAGAGAATCAAATAACTAAATAAATGAATGAATGAAACGAGAGAAAGGAGAAAAGATTATGTCTCTTACAAATTCAATAAAAGCTTGATTTTGATTTGCTCCAACGTTACACTTTGTGTTAACAACTTTACCAAATGGTTTCCCTAGTTCAATGAGCTCCTCTTCTGTACATTCCCATGGTAAGTTTCTCAAATGGAGAACCTTTGAGGGGGGTTGAGTGTAGCGGAACTGTGGCTGGCTTGACACGGATGCCATTCCGCACTATAATCCAAAATGCAAACAAATAAAACAAAAAAATTATCATTCATAAATTATGCATGATATAAATGAAATCAAATTTGATGTTAAATGTATGCAACCACAATGATACATGCAAACCCAAGAAAAAGGGGGGAAATCCTAAAAAGGCAAGGATATGCTTCGTGGCCCAATCAGGTAATAATCTAATAAGATCAACCCACTAGTTTGCTTCTTAGCAAGTAATGTCCAACCTCAAATACGCAACAAAATATATAGAAAAATATTTTTTTTTAGAATACGTGAATTTGGATCTTCTCCCTTTAACCAACATACAACATAGCATCACAATAAATTTCCTCACCGAAATGTAACACCCCAGGCCCATGCTATGTTGACAACATCATTAGAGTTATAGGCTTCAATAGTAACATTGGGCTTATTTGTCCACTTGGCCAACAATATAATTGCAACTAAATCCATGAGTTACACAAGCTAGTAACTTCAACACTCACAATTGAGACACAACTACTAATGGGGATCATCATGCTTTTTCTGCCAGTATGGAATTAGAATTTGAAAACTTCCAACAAAATTGAATTGAATCTGTAAAGTTGGGATCTAGGAAAACAACCTAGAAGGAAGGTTGAATAGGATTGTTACTCATTTTAAACTCAAACAAACAGTTAAATAAAAATGACTGGCTCAGTTTTCTGTAAAGGCATTTTTCAAGAGTTCATTAACTCATAGTAGAGTAGTGGTCGGTGAGTTGAGAAGAAAGTGTGCCCGCTCTCATACAAAACGGAAGTTGTGAAGCTGAAAATCAATTAGCAGACCATGTCTTGCACGCAGGTCTTGTCAAAGCCTGACCATGGTTGGATATGCAACCCTTATTCACTCAGTACTTGCTTCAGTACCTTCGCACGTGAATATTTTTTTCAAAAACCAGTTTTCAGGCTCCAGATCTACGCAATCAACAAAGCGGTAAAATAATCTCTGATGTGCTAGCATACTTTCTGAAATGACTTTCACAGAACATATCAAGAAATAATAATCAATACATTATCAAAATTAACAGATACAATACGGAAGTCGCGAAGCTGATAATCAATTAGCTGACCATGTCTCGCACGCAGGTCTTGTCAGAGCCTGACCATGGCTGGACGCGCAACCCTTATTCACTCAGTACTTGCTTCAGTACCTTCGCACGTGAATATTTTTTTCAAAAACCAGTTTTCAGGCTCCAGATCTACGCAATCAACAAAGCGGTAAAATAATCTCTGATGTGCTAGCATACTTTCTGAAATGACTTTCACAGAACATATCAAGAAATAATAATCAATACATTATCAAAATTAACAGTTGCGCAAGAAAGACCGGGGAACAGACAAATTTTATCATGAATCATTCAGAGCTCCAGAAAAAGAAAATGGGTACAAAATTCAGGGGCCTAATTTCACGATAAGAACTATATTATTATAGAAAAGCAGTGAATTAAAGGAAACAAAATGTAAATCACATATGTTACACCAAGATTGCTTCTTTTTAGGTAGACAAAAATTAAATAGTTTTTACAATAGCATCAACCAGCAACCAAAACTGAATCCAATCTGTTCATCCACAATTCCAAATTTCGCTGTTAAATCAAATAGTATATCAAGTATATTTAACCAAGTTTAATAATGACTAGATAGATAGAAATTAAGTCAATTTTACAATAGCATTTACCAGAAGAGAAAACTAAATCAAATCCATTTTCAAATTCATCAGTTTAACCGAAATACTCACAAAACCAAGATGTAAATCACAAATATTCAGTGAATGTTGTTATTTTCTAGATATATAGAAATTAAGTGATTTTCAAAATGGCATCTACCAGCAGCAAAAGAAGGCCGAATCAAATCTGTTCACCTAGATTCAAACTCAAATATTAAATCAAACAAAATCACTATTATAAAATCGAATTGGTATTTTTAGGTAGATAGAAATTAATCAATACCAGAAGCAAAAACTATACCCAATCTGTTCACCAAAATTTTCAGATTGGGCCCTTAAACCAAATAAAATCAGTGATATTAAGCCGAGATTTCTATCTTGTAGGTAGATAAAATTTAAGTAACCTTCACAATAACATCTATCAGTAGCAAAAACTGAATCTAATCTGTTCACCAATGATTTCGAATTCAGCTATCGAACCAAATATACACATGTTTTCGCAACCGCACCTATCGATATACATCAGAAAATTGAATTGAAATGAGAACTAGAAGGTAAATACAGAGATTGAGAGGGCACCTGAGCGAAGAAGGGAATTAGGGTTCGAAGAGGACGAACAGCTGAGAGACTCGGGAAGGATTTTTTTAAATTTATTTTCTTTTTTATTTCTTTTTTATGACTATTGGATGAAGGGATGTGGCGTAGGTTAGCTCCCGGTTAGCAAAACAGAAAATCACAGGCGTAAATTGTTTCAATAATCAATCAACTTCGTCACGGTCACGATTTACTCACTGAACTTTAAAGTGCTTCACAGTACTCACTAAACTTTGTCTATTTGCACTCCGTCCATCACCCTCGAAAATTCGTTACCTTATTGCTAATGTGGCTAACGAAAATCTAACGTGGCAAATTACGACCGTTAAAAAATGACAATTCAGCAAAATCATTGTTTCATTACTCATCTAACTTATATTTGGTCACAGTTTACTCATTGAACTTCAAAATGCTTCACAATGTTCACTTATCTTTGAGATGTTGCACTCCATTCATTATCCGTCATATTTTGTTCCCTTCATATTGTACTCTATTTATCATCCGCATATTTTGTTCCCCTCATTTCTAATGTTCGCACAAAAATTTCACGTTGTACGTTATACATGTTAAAAAAATTCCAACTTAACAAAACTTAACTCACCAAAATCACCATATGTAAAACGTGACTTCCACGGCCACCATCAACATCTTTAAAATCCAATAAAACGTCCCCAATAATTTTTTTAGAAATATCATTTTTCTAATTCAAACATTTACTGTACAAAAAATATGTTTTAATTTCAAGGTGAAACTCTGAATCATAACTTGTTTGGTTGGAACGTTTACCATATGTGAAACGCGACTTCCACAATTCATAAACTTTTTTAAAATCCAATAAAGCGTACACAAACAAGTTATGCTTCAGAATTTCAGTTTCAGATTAAAAACTATTTTTTGCACAGTAAACGTTCGAATTAGAAAAATGATATTTCTAAAAGAATCAATGAGGACGCTTTATTGAGTTTTAAAGAAATTGATGGGGCCGTAGAAGTCACGTTTCACATATGGTGATTTTTGTGAATTAAATTTTGTTGAGTTGCAATTTTTTTAACATCTGTAACTTACCACGTAGAATTTTTGTCTGAACATTAAGAATGAAATGAACAAAATATAGCGGATGATGAATGAAGTGCAACATCTCANCAAAATATGACGGATGATGAATGGAGTGCAACATCTCAAAGATAAGTGACCATTGTGGAGCATTTTGAGATTCGATGAGTAAACTGTGACCAAATATATAAGTTGGATGAGTAATGAAATAACGATTTGGCTAAGTTGTCATTTTTTAACGATTGCAACTTGTCAAGTTAGATTTTCGTTAGCTATGTCAGCGAATAAAATAACGAATTTTTGAGGGTGATGAACGGAGTGTAAACGGACAAAGTTCAGTGAGCACTGTAAAACACTTTAAAGTTAAGTGAGTAAACCGTGACCATGATTAAGTTGAGTGATTATTGAAACATTTACTCTATAATAGCTGATGGCTTGGCTTCAAACAAACTTTTTTCTTTTCCTCTCTTTTTCATTTTTATAATTTCTGAAATTTTGTAGTAGGTGAGAAAATATATATTAGGCCACGTTTGAATCCCATTTTTCAAAAAATTCATTTTTTTAAATATATATTTTTAACCACACATTCTCTCGCAAAATAATTTTACATGTAAATTATAAACTTCTTTTTTAAGTTTTAATCACACTTCTAAAAAATCACTATTTAAACATACATTTTCCCCCAAACGTGGGGTCAATTAGGGGCTAAATCATAAGTATTCTTTAGCTCTTATTTGACAATCATTATTTTCAAACGCTTTTTTTTTACATACTTATTTTCAATCGTACATTCACACAATAAACTATGCTGCATGTAAATCCAAAATTATTCTCTACCTTTTAACTACACATTCTCTAAATACTCACTATTCAAAACTCTATTTTCTCAATAAAATGATTGTCAAACGAGGATTTAATTCAAATTCATGTATTAATAGGTACAATATCATTTAATGGTAACTTATTACTATAGCCCTATTTGACAACAATTAGAAAGAGTTTTGGGAAAAAATTGAGTTTTAGAATAGCAATTTTAAAAAAAATGTACTTAAAATAGTAAGAAAAAATTTGGGTTTATATGCAAAAAAAAATTATTGTGAGAATTAGTTGCTGAAAATGAGTTTGAAAAAAAATAATTATTTTAATGAGCCCTTGTTTGAGCCCCATTTTATAAGAAAATATATTATGGAATAGTGATTTTTTAGAGAATGTGACTAAAAAAAAAAAGAAAAAAAAATTCGATTATGTGAAATTATTTTATGAAATAATGTGTGGTTAAAAATGAGTTTTGAAAAAAATTGAGGCCAAATATAGGATAGGCCAATTGTAAAATAGGGGTATAACGCCACATAATCTAATGTTATACACCATCAACCATACGTAACATTAATCTTGTTTAGCTACAACATGATATTTTACGTGACTTTCATATTTTTTCTTTTCTTGCATTAAGTATTAACTCCATTAATAAATTCAATTCTGCTACGTGTACATCTTTTTTACATCGTTTTTACATTGTGCCGCGTACCGATACATGATTGGATAGTTTTTAAAAAACACTTTCCCGTCAAACACTTTTTGAATTCCCACACAACGTAAAAAAAGGTGTACACCATGAAGTGTACACTTAGCATAAGCTTGATAAATTCTATCTACAATTTGAGTCTTCAAAATGCGATACAATGTTATTTTTCTTTAAACATAATTTGTTCATGTCATTCTTGATTTAGCACGTGGTATAGTATCATGCAAATTACTTTGCAACATTTATAATGAAGCCCATAGTAGCTTTAATTGACTGCATTTTTGTATTTATGGGCCAATTTAATAACATGAACAAACTAGTATATAACACGTGATTTTTTAATGTTGTTGATGTTTTTTTTATTAAATATTAAACAATAATAGTTTAACTTAAAATGTTAAAACCCAAACGCTTAAAACACAATTCACTTTTTCATTTGTATTTGAAATTTGAAAGGTTGTAGTGGGTGGTGAAAATGGCGTTGAGTACTGTTGTTTTCGTCGACGAACATTAAAGAAAAATTATTGGAAACTTTCCTTGATTAATCGAGAAAGGGAAGGCAAGATGTGGGCGGGGATGTGTTCCTTTATTTTATTTCCTTTTTGTTTTGTTATTCTTTTTTTTATATAAGTTATTTTGCCGAAATTTGAATTTTAATAGTCAAATTGAAGATTTTCGTTGGAAAATGACCCATTTGCAGACATTTAAGAGATTTGGGACTCCAAGTGCTAGAATTCAAATGTTTGGGACTAATCGGTTCAATCTTCAAAGGTTTGATATCCACGTGCAATTTATACTTTATTTTTCTTTTTATATTTTTTTATTAAATTGAGGGTAAATTTGTCATTTTAATTAAAATAAGACCTATAAATGATCAATTGATGGTTCAATAATGCTCCAAGTACATGAGCATTATTGTCAGGGCCTCACAGGCACCTCACTCCCACATCTGAATAAAAAAAAAAAAAAATTTGCCCCCACCCCACCAAATATGTATCTTGCTGGCAGGGGCCTGTAAGTCAGCCCTTGTACTCCAAGCACGGTTCTTGATGGTTTCCATCACAAAAGATCTACGACCACACATTTGTAGCATTTGGAACTCCCAATGTTATAAATCAAATATTAGAGACACATCATTACAACATTCAAAGGTTGAAGGCCTCAAGTGCAAGTTTATTGACAACTAATGAGCTATTTATGGTAAAACCCAGTTAAGCACTTGTTTGTCTATCATTATTCCAAAAAATTATTTGCTACAATAAGATTTTCTACCACACATTCACCCCATAAACTATTCTATATACAAATCAATAAAGTTACTTTAAATTTCAACCACATATTCTCTAAAAAAATACTATTCATTACTATTTTTTCTCTCAATAATGGTAGACAAACACAACCTAAATGTACGAATAAAGATTCGGTCATTAGTTTTAATAAATATAAATTACATTTCTTTAAACAAAATAACAATCTAATGGAGGGGTAATGCAAAGTCCGAAAATTGTGTTCGATGAATTGGAGCCCGCTGGTGCCCTACTACTCCAGCCGACCCCAAGTGGCCTAGTCACTATTCTTGTTCTTCTTCAATTCTTCGTTTTCATTATGAACAGTCTTGAGCAATTTAATGTTTGAAGGATCCCCTGGACAACCAGTGGAAAAATGGCCAAGCCCGCGTTTTCTTGGCCATGGAAGAACCAACGCTGGAAAAAGAATCCAATACTTGATTCAACTTTGTACAAGAATTCCCCCGGTTCTAATCCGGACATTATTTATAAAAACCAAACGATAACTAAGTATTGCCAAACTGGTCAACTCGAAAAAGCTCGAAACACGTTCGACACAATGCTCCAGCGAACAGTCGTTTCTTGGAATGCCATGATCACTGGATATTCTAAATGGAATAGATATTCCGAAGCAATGAACTTGATTTCATTGATGCATCACTCTAATGTTAAGCTGAATGAAACCACAATTTCAACGTCGTTAAGTGTTTGTGCACGCTCGTGGTCATTGGCAAATGGGAAACAGATTCATGGGCTGGTTTTGCAATCTGGGCATGAAGAATTTGAGCAGGTGGGAAGTGCTTTGTTGTACTTGTATGCTAGTTGTTATGAAATCAAGGAAGCAAAGCGGGTTTTTGATGAGTTGTGTGAGAAGAATGAGTTGGTGTGGAGTTTGATGCTCGTTGGTTTTGTTCAGTGCAGTTTTCTGAGTCAAGCTTTGCAGGTTTTTGAAGAAATGCCGAGGCGTGGTGTGGTTGAATGGACTACATTGATATCAGGGTATGTAAAGAGCGAAGACGGGTGTCAGAAGGCTTTGGAGTTGTTTAAGATGATGAGAAGGAGTGTTGAGGTGGTTCCCAATGAGTTTACATTGGATTCCGTAGTGAGGGCTTGTGGTAGATTGATGGACTTGTGGGAAGGAAAAGTGGTTCATGGACTCTTGATAAAATTGGGATTTGAGTTTGAATGTTCGATAACTGGTGCATTGATTGGCTTTTATATTGGTTGTGAGGTTGTTGATGATGCCAAGCGGGTTTATGATGGAGAATTGAATCCTTGTTTGAGCAACTCCAATCTATTGGTTGGGGGGCTTATTAAGATAGGTAGGATGGAAGAAGCTGAATTAATTTTTAGCAGAATGGTTGAAAGGAACCCTGAAACATATAATCTGATGATCAAAGCATATGCAATGTGTGGTAGAGTTGAGGATTCAAAAAAGTTGTTTATGGAGATGCCAGTGAGGATGTTAGCGACTACAAATACTATGATCTCAGTGTATGCCAGGAATGGCGAGATTGACAAAGCTTTGGAGCTTTTCGAAGAGACAAAAGGAGAAAGGAACCCTATCAGTTGGAATTCAATGATGTCAGGGTACATTCAAAATGATCAACATGATAACGCATTAAAACTATATTTGACTATGCGCAGACAATCAATAAGCCAAACTAGGACAACATTTTCTGCTCTATTTCACGCCTGTGCGTCCCTAGGATCTCTTCAACAAGGACAACTACTTCATGCACATCTAGCAAAAACTCCATTTGAATCCAACGTGTACGTAGGCACGGCTCTTATAGACATGTATTCAAAATGTGGGAGCATTGAAGATGCTCGAGCATCATTTAGCGACATTTCTTTTCCCAATGTGGCAGCATGGACTGCACTGATTAATGGGCATGCACATCACGGACTAGGCTCTGCTGCAGTCTTACTCTTTAATCTTATGTTAGAACGAGGGATACATCCCAATGCTGCAACCTTTGTCGCAGTCTTATCTGCTTGTACCAGAGCAGGTTTAGTAGTCGAGGGAATGAGATTCTTCCGGTTGATGAAAGAGCAATATGGTATAATCCCAACCTTAGAGCATTTTACTTGTTTAGTGGATCTCCTAGGTCGCTCAGGCAATCTGGTGGAAGCTGAGAAGGTCATCGAAGAGATGCCAGTTGAACCAGATAAAATTCTCCTTATTGCATTTCTCAATGCTTGTTGGTTCTGGATGGACATGAAAGTAGGCGAGCGAGTGGCTGAGAAGATATTCAGTTTGGATCCTAATCCAACATCTGCATGTGTTATCATGTCGAACATGTATTCAGGGTCCGGGAAATGGAGGGAGAAGATGAAGGTACGGGATGAATTGAGAGATTTAGAAGTTAAGAAGGTTCCTGGATGTAGTTGGATTCAGCTAAATAACCGAGTGCACGTGTTTTCTGCAGATGATAGAACCCATCCATGTTGTAATACAATATATGCGACTATGGAGCGCCTAATGACTAATGTAAATTATAGTTTTCAATTTGATTTTACTTCTTCACAACTAACGGAATGCAGCACATAAAGTGTATAAATCTCCATTATATTGAGAATCTTTTGACAAGCTCTGAGAGTAACATAAAAATTTGTAGCATTTTGTGTTCTGCAACTCAGATTGTAAAAAATTAACTGTTGAGCATCATATTGTTTCTTCATTTGTTTCAAAATCCTATAATTATAGGTACATTTATGTTATTTTTGGCTCCTTTTTTTGCATTTCTTATTTTTTAATCATGTAGTTGTGCAATGTATGGTAGACCTTCTAAACAGCCAAGTGACAAACTTGGAACCATGAAGCCACAAAATCAAATATTGGTAGGGAAGATTAAATAGCACTAAGAAAGAAAACGAAAACAAGAACTTGTTCGTAATTCCATCTAGTCTCGTCTGATATTGTGCTGACCATGCACGAGGTGTATCAACTTAAGATCAACCCACATTATGTCATCAAGGTATGACTATGTTTTCTAAATCAAACAATTTCAAAAAAAAAAAAAAAGGAAACTATTAGCCATATATACCAGCAGATTGCAGTTTTCAGGTCCTGTAGAAATGGATTATACATAATTGATTTTTATGTATGTAATGGGTAACTATGATACAAATGGTTTGGTATACAACAATTAATATCCAGCAATGTGAAGACAGTTAATCCAAATGGGGAGTAAGATATGTGTCAACGTGACAAGACAATGGCGTTGTTCATTTGAATATGTACCAGCGAAGATATTCCACTCGTGCTGGATGTTTGAGCTTCATGAGAGCCTTCACATGATGCTTTCGGACCAATTCTCTCGAAATATTTGGGGCTGTTTGCTTCTCATTAATTTATTTTATAGTTTGCTACAAGATCATTTTCAATCACATATTCACAAAATAAAATATTCTATACGTTCTCCCAAAAATTTTCCTACTTTTAAACCGCACGGTCCACACGTTCTCCTAAAAATACTATTCAAAACTACTTTTTTTCCCAATTAAAGGGAATCAAAGAGGCACAGGCACTTAAATTACCAGTTATTTCTCCCAAGGTTCTGTCTCCTCTACCATCAAGTCCATATCCCTGCCTGATCACCAAACTCTCCTTCGGCTTCAGAGAATCAAGCTGCAAAGGATTTCAAAGAGGGATATTAAGACGTTTAATTAACTATACACATGACACTTACTAAGAGATTTTAGATACTAAAAAGGATGAGAGTTATATGGATTCTACATCATATCTCTGAGGTGCTAATAGAATTCAAGTAGCCTTGAGATAGAAATGATATGTTTGGTAAGGTAAACTCAATAATGCTAGACAACATTAATGAAGACAAAAGGAGCTAAATCATTGCACTGTCAAATACTGTGTAACAATGCATAAAATTCTTGCCCTTTAAACATGAAATTAGTAACTTTCATTGAAAATCATAAATTTCCGAAAAAGAAACCCCGACATAGCAACCAGACAATTGTTATATTTCACTGAATACAGATCTACATATGTTAATGTGAACGAGGAAGAATAAGAATCACATTTTCTAAATAGATGGAATGAAAAGTATCTGCATGCTTGTTAACACTAGCGATGTGGTCATTGGAGCATATTCTGGAAAGGAGCATATTTGCGGCATGATTGGTAAAGCTTATATAGTTTACTTATAAGTGAATATGTAGAAATGGGTCACACTTAGAAATAAGTAAGTCACCGAATCGATAAAGTTAAAGAGCTGCTTTCAGAATAAGGTACTTTTTCTTACTTTGAAGTAGACTTACCTTATCGATACATATTTTGAAACAAAAATTCACTTACCAGTAACTTTTACTTAAGCTCCTAAACGTGCTCTTGGTTAATTGAAAATTATAGAGAACACGATAACTAAAATTCATCATAATTAACCACTAGACTTGAGTTCTGCAAAATTTCAGCAACAGTCATATTTTACAAGAGTAAGAGTAATTAGTACAGAAAATGTAAACACATAGTTACAGTGCAGACTCTATGAGACAAAAATTTACCGATTTTGCTAGTGGTATATCACCATGTACATGGGGTGTACACCCCCCTCACATGGGGTGGGACCGCTTGAATAAATTATGTACATTTTTTGATGTACCAGTAGAATTATTCAAAATTTACCACTTCAACTAGTGCAAGCCTGAGAAGAGCAGGTTGCCTCCTTTATCTCCTTCTACACCATCAACATCAGTAATTCCATTTATCAACTCTTCTTGGGTTAACAGGTGCTGTGAATCGAGGGAAATGATGGGCTTTGATACTCTCTTCACTTTGTGATATCTTTTGGGGGAAATTCCTACTCTTTCTTCATCAGTTGGCGTTCTCTGAAGTTCAAACAACAACTCCAGCTTGGCCCAATTGATTTCTGTTCTGACCTACATCAGGAAAAACAATTCAATCTAACATTTTCATCAAAAGCATTTTGAAATGACTCGATAAACCCAATTTATCCATCTATAAACCAGTAGTTGCTAAATATTTTGTTGGGCCAAGGCACACGATATTAGATCAAGAACAGAAAACAGCAAGTTTGTATACTGAAAATAAAGAGCAGAATTTAAAGAACACAATCGATATGTTTCGGCCTAAGCCCCGGAGGTTCCGTGACCAAATCTAACACCTACATCCCCCGTTGAGNCGTTGAGCATTCAATATTATGAATTATGCTTGGTTCCACTATAAAGCCCAAATCGGCAACAAAGGCTATATGAATATTCAGAACAATCACAAAGATAGTATAAGAACACTTATCTCTCACTCATACAGCAGTAGATCCACTCGAATCACAAAGAATCGAACACTAAATCAACAGGAACAACTGCATAGCCTCACGAGTACTTCACATAGATATTCACTCAGAATATCTCCACAAAGAAATCACAGTATTACACAATATGATCAAATTAGGGATTTGATTTACAGAATGAAGTATTCAAAAGAGACGCAGCCAGAGAGAGAGAGAATAAGGATGAATGAAACCCTAGAAAAGATAACCCTTCGAGATAATGCCAAGTGAAAAAGGCATAAAGTATTGAACCATCCAGAAGCAGATCCAACGGCCATCATCAGTCCAGGTGTCACACATCCAGCAATAGGCTGGATTAAAAGAGTTGTTATTTGCCAAAACACATTTTAACCAAATTTGGAAGCAACCAATTGAATCCGGTTCAATTCCAACATATCCTATTGTTTAGATTTCACAGAGTTGAATGGTATAGAGGATTCATGTAGCCGACCCAAGTTTACTGGGAGTGAAGTTTAGTCTGTTTTCGTTGATCACTTGATTGTAGAAGTTCATAAATTACTAACTTTGATGTCTCTGTATGACTGCAAGTATATACATGTGTACAAGTGCGAGTCTCTCTGCCCATCTCTCTCTCTCTCTCTCTCTCTCTGTATTTCTGTGTGTGTGAGCAAGTGTTTGTATATAAATCATTCAGTCCGCGATCTAGACCAAAGAAGAACCAACAAGCAATTTATTTTGATTCTATGCCATTAGAACTATAACAAATAAGAAAAAATGGGTATAGAGTGTAGGTAGAGATTTTTGAAGTTGAATCACTATATAACTATAATGCATATGAGGTAAACTCACCAACTCAAGGCCAAAGGATACTTTAGTGAAGCTTGAGAGCATCATAAAACGTGCTATGGCATATCTTATCCAAAATAGGCCATATGTTCAGAACCAGAACTTCCTTTTTGGTTCAAAATGATCAATAGCTATTATAAGACCCTTAACTCCGGCTTGACAGAGGTCTTGGAATTTTATCCGTTTGTGTATTCTTTAAAATATTTGTTCATTACAAACAGAACAAGACATAGATTATGCTGAAACCAATTAGAAACATGATACCATCAGCTGCTATAAATTATACTAAACAGGTGAGTAAGGGGCTAAATTCAGACTTAGATGTAAAAATAGAGGCAAACTGCCAGCCATATGCAATATGCCATAACATACACGACTATAGCCCATTGAACAGACTAAGAGAAACTGAACACTCGTGTATTTCCCAAACTTCCATCATAAAAAACTAGTCTGAGTTCTGGAGTCAATATGATCATCATATGACTTGCACCTTAAATATATCCATAAAAAAATTGAGGGTGAAAGCAAGATCCAGTACTAGATTTCCTATGACTAAATTTTTGATTGGATAGATTGATTTCAAAATAATAAACAGGAAGAGAAATTCGTATCCATCAAGTTGAACCTTCCTTTGTGTCATGGACTGTATCTTTACTTAAGCCCCGTGGCTCTATTGCATCCGTAGTTTGCCCAACTTCGACCGC